CGGGACTCGATCCCGGGATTCCAGGATCATGACCTGAGCCGAAGGCAGTCGCTTAACCAACTGAGTCACCCAGGCGCCCGCTTTTTTTTTTTTTTAATGAACTTAATAGATGGTCATTTATATTTGCCTCTGTGGCACATAATGTTTTATTGTCTGTATTTTTGTGATGTTAATAGTCATTGCTTATATTCAGGGCTTTTTAAATGATTCACCTACATTTTTGATGGATTTTTTTTTTTGCTGGGCATATAATTTTAGATGGCTGTTTTTCCTTCACTGTTTTCTGGCTTCCATTCTTTATGACTTATTGTCAGCTCTCAGTCTAATTGTTAGTCTTTGAAGGTAATTTGTTGTTCCTGTATATCTCCCTACCCTCCACTCCGTGGATGCTTTTGAGGTTTTCCTGTTTTTGGTTTTTATCAGATACACTATACTGGTTTTCTTTTCTTTTTCAATCTTCTTTAGGTTTATATTGCTTCTTCAGTCTGTGGCTTGGGGTCCTTCGTTGGTGTTAGAAAATTCTCACCCATATGCCATTTTCTCTTCTGCCCTGTTCTCATTTCTTCTCCTCCTCAGATTCCTATTATATATTTTTTAGATCTTATACTCCATTACATTTTTTTTAATGTTCTTTCCTGTTTTTAATTGTCTGTGCCTTTTGTTCTGTGCCTAATAGTGTTTTCTTTTGACCTTTCTTCCAATTCACTAATTTTGTTTCTTTGTTTAATCTACTGTCAAGCCCACCCTTGAATCTGTTTAATTATTGCTTTTTTCATTTCTGTTATTCGTTTGGTTCTTTGTTACAGTTTTCATTTCTCAGAATTCTCCATGAACTGTTATTTATTTCAGTTGTTTTAAAATTGGTTTCTGATTATTATTTTATTTGGGTCTCCTGTGGTCTTTTCTAATGTCAGTTCTTCCCCCTTGTTTTCTGGTCATTTGTTGTTTCCTTGAATGTCTGCTTATTTTTTACTAAGTGCCAGAAACCAAATGTGAAAAATATTGCAGATAGTTTGAGGTTTTGAATGATTGTTCTAGAAACCTAAAACATCTATATATGATTTTTTAAGTTCTGTTGTAAGAATAAATAGCAATAGGAGAAGAGGGAACTGGTAAGAGTCAATTAATAGGATTATCCTGGCTTCCTGATAGAGCAGGAATTTAGAGAAACTGGGAGAAAATGAAGATCTCAAAGAGTATGGAGTGAGACACCTACAAGAGTTGGAGGTTGGCATCAAAGTGGGGATGTTAGACCTTGAGATTAAAATAAAAATAATCAAAGGGAACAAAGTCTATGGAATATAATCGGTGTGTTACTAGAGTTTAGAATTAGTCACATAGTGAAAAGTCAAGGGAGTCTTAATGGGAAGGTGTAGATGTAGGTGTAGGCTTAGGTTAAGTTTTGAAGGAAATAAATTGAGTAAATAGTGAAGAGCAGGAAGAGAATTTCAGGCTACACTGTAATTTTCAACTGCTTTTCTTCTTCACATTTCCTTGGAAATTACTTTAGCCTAATTGTTCTAAAAATGTTTGGCATAGTGTTAGGGGGTAGAGGTGAGGACCAGAAGCCATCATACTTTTTCCACAGGTTCCACACACTCTGGGTGGGTTCATATGACTAGTAAATAGCCAGAACTATAGCTTTAGGCTCAAAACTCTTAATGTCCTATGCGCCTTAATTCTTTGGGGATGTTAATACCTGCCCAACCTATCTCACATAGTTTTTTTGTGAGCATTTCAAAAATAAAATTACTATACAAATGTAACGTGGTTAATAATCACATGGCTGGTGAAAAATTATGGTTTGTAATTACACTGAAGGAAAATTTTTCAAGAACTTACTACGTATGCATTTCATTTATTCATATAACTTAATTGTGCTAAGTAAAATTTGTGACAGATTTATGTGTGAATTAGAGCATGTCAACATCAGAAGTTAATGTTACATTTTTCTGCTTGAGGGCAAAAATATTATACATACATTCTCATTATCTTTGAGAGAATGAATTTTCTTTCGAAATAGAAATCAAATACTACAAAAGCAAATGAATTGTCACTTGATATAAATTTGAACTCTTAGTTTCTATTTAGATTCTGCAATAAAATTAAAACTGTAGATTATTGGATAGTATATGTCACTTGATCTATTAAATAAATAGAACAGTCCCAGTGCTAAAGGGATGTTATAATTCATAAACAAAGCAGTATGTTAAAACCTTATTTTAAACTAAAGTATAAAATTGTTTCTCTGTCTCTAGGCAAAATTTGGTTTCTCTAATATTACTGGAATTGATTACTCTCCTTCTGCAATACAGCTTTCTGGAAGTATTATAGAGAAAGAGGGTTTATCTAACATTAAGTTGAAGGTAACTATTATATTACTATTAATTTTTTTATAATAAAAGTTATAAAGTTTAAGCATTTCTAAAGTATATTTGCTAACAATATCTTTTGAACTTATAAATTAAGGATTAATTATAATCCAAATTGAAACATTTTTAAGTAACTTAAAATTTTCAGTCTAGTCAACATGGGGAAGCTATTTTCTCCTCTTCTTTGTGTGCAAATGTGTTCATTCTCCCATGTTTGCGAACACTCACAAATACTAGCTAATGACTTTGGATTAACTAGGTCAAAAAGTTGTAAATACGTAAAGTGATGTAGTGCCACCAAAGATTACTTAGTTTACATTTGTGTCCTATGATCCATAAGGAGATGATGACTCTTGGATTTAATATCTAGCCCAGACTTGTCTGAGCTCTAGAATGATTTAAAAACTGCATATTTTACAGTTCTGCCTGGATAACGATAGTCTCTCATTTAGTCTGAAAGGAAACTCTTAGTTTCTCTATAAACCTGCTTTACCATAGTCTTTCCCATTCACCTGTTGTACTAACCTAAAACCCAAGGAGTCATCCTTCATTCTTCTCTTTTCTTTAAGTCCTATGCCTCATTCTGTTGGTTTTATCTTCAGAGTGTATCAGGCGTGTGATCATTCCTTGCTGTTTCCAATGTGCCCTCCTAAGTCCAAGCTGCCATCATTTCTTGCCTCCCATGGCTGCAGTGGCCTTACTTGGCCTCTCCATTTCTCCTCTTGCCACCCACTGTTTGTTACCACAGGGCAAGCAGAGTGATCACTGCCTTGCTCACAAGCCTCCAAGGGCTTCCCCGTTGCACTGAGAATGGAATCTGAATGCTGACCCCACCTTAGAAAGCCCCTCATTTCTCACTGTTTTCCTCTTTATCACCAGTATTCCAGTCACACTGGGTTGCTTTCTGCTCCGGAAACATGTCTAGCCTGTCCTTTTCCAGTTTTTATATCTGCTGCTCTCTGTCTCGAATATTCTTGCCCCAGATCTGAGCTTGTTTGGATCAGTCTTGTCAGTCAGATCTGTGGTCAAATATCACCTCCTAGACCTTTCCTGACTACCTTTTCCAAAATATTTCTCTTCCCAGTCACTCACTGTCTTTATTATTCTGTTTTTATTGTCTTCATAGCACTTCATCTAAAATTATTTGTTTAACTTATTTATTTGTTGTCTCTCCCTTTAGAAAATATAAGATATATTCTCATACAGGGACACTTTCTTTTTTGTTTACTCTTATATTCTCAGTGACTGAAAAGTCCCTGCATATAATAGATGTTCATGACATACTTGTTGAATAAGTGAGTACTTTGATACAGGCGTTTCAGATAGGAACTTCTCTAAACTTAGCTCTTAAGAATGGTAGTCATCTTTTGTTTCAGGTATAATGAATACTTTGGTGTGAGGGAAGAGGGAAAAAACACATGTTCTAATGTAAATAAACATAAAAATCCACATTTTTAAATCAAAGGGTTTTAGGTAATATACTGTGGTTACTGTATTAAGTTTATATGAATAATCATGAGCTAATTGCTTAATTTTTCAAAGTAGTTTTTCAGAATTAAGTACATTGGCAAAGTATTAAATGAAATTGAGGCAGATCACTGTTTCAGATGCTTACAATGTATTAGTAGGTTATTGAAAATGAATGATAGGCTGATGTATGATTTCCACAACCTAAAGTGCATGATCTTTATAAAGTTAAGTAACTGCAGTTTAAATAGTCCTTTGATTTCTTAAGCTTTATGCCATTCATTTTATCCGTTAGTTGCTTTGTAAGCTGCTGAGTCAGGGCTTGAGGGACTTCCGATTTGTAGTCACACCACTGGTAATCATATCAGCTAAAAATCATCTTATTTATAATGACCTTTTTGAGTTCTGCATAATTTTTGTCATCTTTGAGAACATGTCAGATATTCTATTTTTTGGCAGAAATAACTTTTCCGTGAGCCAGGCTTGCAGGCTCCATTACATGCTGGTGTTATCAGGCAGTACACCTGGCTTTGATTTGTTTCCAAATTTGTAGAGATTCGGAATGTCCAGGAAACACTGTCAGTCTCTCCACCAATCTTAGCTTTAATGATTTTGAAATGAAGCCCGTGAAAGTTAGCTATAAAGTTGAAAATATGTTTATTATATGTAAAATGCCATCATAATTAATTGGTCTTTTTATCTATAATCTTTTACAGATTGTCACTTAAATTCAGGAGAGATTGTGTGTTAATTGTTCTCATAAAAACATTGGTTTTTAATATAGGTAGAAGACTTTTTGAATCTTTCCACAAAGCTGTCTGGATTTCATATTTGTATTGACAAAGGGACTTTTGATGCCATAAGCCTTAATCCTGACAATGCGATTGAGAAGAGGAAGCAGTATGTGAAGTCCCTCTCTGGGGCGTTGAACGTGAAAGGCTTTTTTCTAATAACCTCGTGTAATTGGACCAAGGAAGAGTTGCTAGATGAATTCAGTGAAGGTAAATGGCTGTATGTTGTTAATGTGTGCTTACCTCAGGTTTCATATACTTAAATGGGTTTTTTTTGTCCCGTGGCGTTAGTGTTTTACTGTTCCGTTTGTGGGAATTGCCTGTTTTTCTTCTCTTTTAACTATATATGCAAAGGACAAAGAAATAATAGCCAGAGATCCAGAGTCCTTTCTAAAATTTTCCAAGAAATCCTGGCAGTTAGGTACTAACATTTATGAGCCTATAAAAGTTAAGTTCTTCATTTAAGCTATGTAATCTCTTATTTAGAGACTCAAACAGAAAGCACGTATATTGTGCTTCTGACTTTAGTGTACTGATATACTGGTGATCAGTAATGATAGTATTCAGTAATATGCAAATGGAAGTAGTATTTTAAAAAATCTTACGTGAGAGTTTTAATTCTATAGATGTTTTCTGGGTCTTGAAAATGGTCATTTAGGTATTTAGGATTTATCTTCTTTTTAGTGTATATAGAACAATTATTCTTAACATTGCACAGAAACAAAAAGTAGGGACTTTGTAGTAGAAATAGTCCCTATTAATTCTTGAGGAAATATCTACCTTTTTTCAAGGTTTTGGTGCCAAGACAGGATCCTTTCTGGCCCCATTAGGAAAGTATAATCTGTAAAAGCTGTATCTACTACATGGGGATCTTGTGAGAATTGAGAATCTGTAATCTATACACAAATATTTTGAGTTCTTTGGCAGACTGTTCCTTGCATGTTTTAAGGAATATTTTACCTGCCAATTTGTTCATGCAGTGCACAGGCATTTCTGGGAAAGTACCTTGAGAATCCAGGACTAGTATTTGCTTGTTTTTTTCACAGACTCTTTTTTAGATTAGCATGAAGTTTTTTTTTTTAAAGAAATGGGAGGAATTTTTAGGATGGAGTATTGATAAATGATATGGTCTAAATTTTTGTTAAATTTTGAACTTCAGTTGCCACAAGCTGATGGGAAATGAATTTATAACTATATTGCATGCACTTTATCTTTGTTTGTTTTCTTTTTGGTAATAAGGGAATAGGCAGTAGGAGGGAGAACACTTAACACATGTCCTTTTGTGTGCATTCAGTGACTTTTCGGCAGGTTATATAATGTAAAACTCGAAGTATTTGAGGCTTGGAATGTGAGCTTGTGGTTTCATTACTATTGCCTCTGGAAAACAAGAATTACATGTGATTTATTGTCTTGTATTTCATGCCATTAATTTTACTATCTTCCATGTTAAATTTGTTTCCTTTAGAACTGTTGAGGCCCTGTATCCATAGTCTTTCCTTCTTCCTGAAGCTTGACAGTTTTAATAAATGCTCGAAGTTAACACTGTGTAGGGCAAGTTTCTTTCCCGGTTTTTAAATACAGGTGTTCTCTTTTACCCTTGGAACCACCAGACAAAAACATATTTGTCTGTCTTTGATAATGAGGAACAGACTTTAGCCTGGTAAAGAGTGCTTAAAATTGTGTCTGTGTCTGAGAACTACTTTAAGTTGTTCAGTTTTAGAGTTTAATACAGAATTTAAGCAAAATGTTACAACAGGAAATGTTAAATACATACAATTGAAGACATTCTTTAGGCATGTGTCTCTGAGAATATGGTGTTTGGAGTTGGATATAGAACACTAACAGAATACTTGCATCACTGCCCGGGGGCTTGTCAGTGGCTTCTCACGATTGGCTTCCATGGTCCCTTTGGTGTAGGGTGAAGCTTGCTTCACTGGTCTTTTAAGGTTCTTTGCTTCTTTCCTTATTGAAACATAAAACTGTTGAAATAAATCTTGCATTTTTCCTTTATAGCCCTATTTATATCAACATTTTGTGTTGTCATTTGCCAGATTACTTGAATCATTTGCCAGATAGTGGGATGTTCTAATTTGATGTCCAAGGAATTGGACTTTCTTAAAACTACTGAATTAAAAACAACTCCAGAAAACCTATTTTACTGCGGAAATAATCCAGATTCGTTATGAAAAAGATTGAAAAATGTCAATAACCCCAACAAAGATAATTTATTACTTATCACTGGAATACAACCACTTTTAAAATTTTGGTGTATTATTTATTAAAATATAAGCACTTAATTCTGTAGGGTTGGTCCAAGGAGTTAAAAGATTAGTCCTGGAAAATTCACACAGACAGTTCCATTTTCTCTTGAACATTTTTATTAAGTACTTTAAGCATGTGTAAAAATTTCAGAAAACAGGTAGGGTTTGTACCCATGTACCCACAGTGGCTCCATTTTCCAGCATTAAGATATATCCTGTTATTTAAAATCCCTCTTTGGAAAAGTTTTCTTAAGATCAGTTTTAATGAGCATTTTAATTTATAGCTATTTGTTAAGATTTGGTGAAGTTTGATTAAGAATATGAATTAGAATGCACAATGAAACAGTATAAAAGACCAGTTGATACAGTAATATATATTCTTTTATATTTTTTCTTTTTGTAAGAGTTATTTCAGCTGAAGCCCAAGGCATAGAAGCGTAGAGAATGCAGACACCCCCACCTCCCAGGGAAAAAAATCTACCCTTCAAACTAATAGTCCCATCACTGAGGGAAACCATGGTTAACTTCCCAGCCTTGCTTGTCTTAGTTTTTAAAAACAAAATAATAAAATGTTAACTTTCCATTTTATTTTATAGTTCAGGAAAATGCCGTGTTATCTTATTTTGATCTTTACAAAATCACTGCGAGGTAGGTAGGGGCGTTGGTAGGTGTAACCTCCTTGCATAGAACCTCCGAGGGTCCTGGCAGCGTATCTTTCACCTAGTAAGTGGTAGAGCTGGAACTTGAACCCAGGACTCTTGAATCCACATTAATTTTTAAATCACGCTGTGCTGCTTTGAAAGTTACTACTTCCTTTTCTTCCCAGATCCTTCGTTAGTTCAGTCTGGGTCTTGATCTTTGGTTACAAACTCTTTTTTGTTGTGGTAAAATATATATAAGGTAAGATTTACCATTTAACCATTTTAAAACGTACAGTTGTGTGACATTTAGTACGTTTCCATTGTTGTTCAGCTGCGGCCACCATCCATCTCCAGAACTTTTTCATCTACAAATTCATTTTTATTTCCACATTGTTTGACTCTTCTGTATTAAGTACTTTTATACGTGTGGTGTGGATCGAGTTACTACATATAAAGCCCTCAGAACAGTGCCTGATTCCTGGTAAGACCTCAGCGCATGATAGCTGCTACCTGCAAGCGAGGTGGTGCAGCAGGCTGAGGGGTGTAAGGGATCGTAGACAGAAAGTGGGGGAAGGAGGGATGGAAGGAAAGCTTCTTTTCTGCAATTTGATTTTGGGCTTGTCTGTTCCTTGTTCAATTTAAAGTGTTAGTGGGTATGCACACTCTGTGCACATACAGTAGATCTGAAAAATTACCAAGTGAAATTCAGTCACAGCTTAATAAAGTTTTATAAAAGGTTTGCAAGTACATTGTTCGTACAGATTTCCCTTAACTGTGGGATTCAGTCCCTATTAAAAGTATTTTAATCTTGTCTAACAGGATTTGAACTTTTCGAAGAGCTGCCAACACCCACGTTCAGCTTTGGAGGCAGATCTGGAAACAGTGTAACAGCATTGGTTTTCCAGAAAACGTGAGACTTTTCACTGGACAAATTCAGTTAGCTTTGTTAAGAAGCTCCACATCAAAGTTAACCTGACACAGAAATGCAAGTGCAAATAAATGCTTAGTAAGTACACAGGATGCACATGTTGAATAGATGTAATGGGTTGGTAAGAATATGAACATGTGAGCGGTTGAGTTTTAGAGACCAACCAAGAATCATTTTAAAGTTTTCTTTTGTATTTGAAATGTAAATATTTTTCTCTTCGATTAAAAAAAATTTCCTGTAACTGCTAAACAGTCAAAAACTTTAAAGCAGTAATTGAATTTATAGAAAGCATGTATTCTTGGTTTTTGTGCTTTGGTAAAGTTGAATGGAATATAGCTGCTCGTTAAGATTTGACGAAACTACTCCAGGGCCAGAATAATAAACATCAACTTTCTTAGTGTTTTATTAGACTGTCTATGAAACATAATAAGTATAATATTTTGGGTTGAATGGTGGTTCTTTAAAAAAAAAACAAAATTAATACCTGAGAAAAATCCCCTAGTTTTCATGTGTATAATCAAACAAAATCAGATAAATGTATGAGTTGATCAAGAAATATTTATTGAGCTTGTATTTTGCTGCTGATGGCCTTTACACACTGTGAAGGATAAACAGGAAGTAGGAAAGACAACTAAGAGATCCTGTTATCTGCTAGCACTGTGTTAAGTTACATTATGGTAATTAAGTCACTGAATCCTTCGAATATCTTCTCAAGGTATGTATTAACTTATTCCTGTTTCTACATATCAAAGGGCTAGTATTGGGGCACCTGACTGGCTCAGTTGGTAGAGCATGTGACTTGATCTCGGGGTTGTGGAGTTCGAGCCCCACATTGGATAGAGAGATTACTTAAAAATAAGATCTTTATGTATTTATTTTAAAGGTTTTATTTATTTGTCAGAGAGAGAGCGCACAAGCAGGGGGAGCGGCAGGTAGAGCTAAGCAGGGAGCCCGATTCGGGACTCAATCCCAGGACCCCGGGATCATGACCTGAGCCGAAGGCAGACGTTTAACCAACTAAGCCACCCGGGCATCCCGAAATAAAATCTTAAAAAAAAAAAAAAAAATAAAGGCTAGTACAGGATGGAGCCAGGATTCTTTGGGTCTGACTAAAACCCGTTCTCTTCCCCTAGAATATTCTGCTTCCCAAGGTGCTAAGTCTCTGCCTTATTGGTACTTAAAGTTCAGTAGGGGAACCAGGACTGGTCCAGAGAAGTTTAGTAGTTGAATTTTCAAGAGCTCTGCGGCTTCTTGTTAGTGACAGTGTTGGTCTGTGGACTGTGAGTTAGTAAGTCTTCCTTCACCACTTTTCTCCATCTCTCTTTTGTCCTAATCGAGAACTGAATAGTGTCATTCTTTTGTGAAAGGGTGCTGTAGGCTATATGTATATATAAGCCTTCAGAGACATGGGGACAAAGATGTTTTAGTTAGGGCTAATTCAGAAGAGAAACAGTTTGTTTATTAACGTTTTTGAAGAGATATGTTAATATATGCCATTTTTCTATTTGGGCTAATATTTTCATATTGGAGCCACAATACAAATTTTAAAGTGATACAATTTTTTATGATTTTCAGCTTTTTGGGTCTGTTGAATTTTTGTTTGATAAATGTTAACCTAGTAATGAGTAAGTCTAGCATTACAATCCTTTTTCTTTTGTGTGTGTGTCTGAGTGGGGGCAGGGGGTGGAGGGAGAAGAGGGGTTTGATTTAAATCAACATTAATCAACTATTAAGATTACTACCTGCCTTGCACAAGATGACTGAAGACATTTACATTAGCTTTCAACACAAATAACATTGTTTGAAAAGCTTTCATTTTTAACATGTAAAGAGTGAGAAGTTACTTCAAAATATATGTGATTTAAGTTTAAGAAAAATTGTGTTGATTTTACAAACTAGGCAAAGGATCTTAAACCACAGAAAAATAGTTTATAATTTATTGAGGCGATCTGGTCTTTGTTGTTTTTTCATGTTACTGTTCCTTGATATCAAATATGATAGTAGTGTGGAAGTACTTTTTTTTTAGAATTTTGAGTTGTTACGTATGCTATTTTAGAGCACCACTCTAACAGAATGGGCTTTCTGTGCCACCAGACTGACGCATTGGGTTTGATTCACTGATAGCTTGGAGCGGGCCTTTGTTGAAAAGCTCTGCAAGTCACCCTCGTGGCGGAGTATGTATGTTCCATTTGCAAAGATGGAGGATTTGGGGGAATCGTGGAGCTGTTGCTCAGGTCAGGAGAAGGGATTTGTCATCTCTCCTTATCAGTTAATCCTCCTGGAAGCCGGCCTCTCAGAGGTTGAAATTAGAACAAATGGAAGGTCTGAAAATCAAACAGTAAATTAGTATTTTCAAATAATACCACACTTTAAAAAACCAGGCTAGTAAATGGCCCCAAATTACTGAAGCAAGTCGTAAATATGTGACTTTTAAACTGAGTTTTGTTAAAGCACACGACTGTGTGGGTGACTGGAAGGAATTATACGGTTATAAAAGGGAGCAGTGAGTTATGTAGTGAGCGCTGGTTTCTCTGCATAAGAAGTTGGAATTGTAATTTTATTTCATCAAAAGACACTCTTATTTTGAGGAAACTTGTTTGAAATGCAAACGAAGTTTCTCTCCAGAGCCTGCACGCCATTGTTGCTTCTCATTACGATGTTATGAGCCGGCACTTCGCTTCTGTGTGGAGGAAGCGCACAGGCCAGTCCGAAGGGATTTGAGGCTGAATGGGTGGGTTACACCAATTAACAAATAGAAAGTTTTCAGAACATTTCGTCTTAAGCCAGGTGCACAAGTTAGAGTTGCTTTTTGGGGCTGGCATTTATGCATATGAGGATCAAACCTGACACTACTCTTGGCAGCTTGACTGAAGCCATTTTAAAATAAGTACAAACTGTCCTAGAATTGATTTTCCCCCATTGTAGTAGCAGCAAGTTGGCCTTTCTTCTTCGTCTGTGACACGCATGCAGTTTTCTGTTATTTGGGGGGGAAGAAGGGAGGTAAACATACACAAAAGACTTCTAGTTTTTGAGTGAATAATGTGTTTCAGTTCACTTACTATTTTTAGTTTTCTGTGACTCTGTAATATAGTACTGTATGTTGGCCTTAATTCACGTTCACCTGGAATATAGTAGAAAGCTTCATTTTTAAGGAGCCTGTGTTAGCCTCCAACCGTTGAAATATTTTTCCCTAAATTGATATGCAAAGAAATAGAGTATCCCTGCTTATGTCAATCGACTCTGATTTGTTTTCTTAAATAATTTTATTTTATGTATTTATGCATGCATGTATGTGTCTGTCTGCTAGTCCATAATGAAAATATATACAAATGTGAAAACTCAGTTGCTCTCCAGGCTAGCATTCTGCTGCTGTGGGGAGGCCTGGGTTTGATTTCCTGTTGTTGGCACTGTGAACTAGAGTGTACGTGCTCCAGAGACAGCTTTCTGCTTTGAAAGCGAGAGACCAAGTGTCTTGTGTTCCACAGTAGTAACCTCTTTAGCTAATTGTGTGTGTGGGGGGGTGTGTTGATGGGCTCTGAAAGGAGTCTTGTCTAGTACACTCCACTGGAAGGAGGCTGCCCATGACCTAGAGCTTGATTGTGGGAGACCAGGAGCATGGTAGGTTGAAGGACAATTGCTTAGTGGGAAAAAATTAGGAAACCCTTGTCATTTCTCTGTTAGGCAGGAAACAGAGATGTCCTTAGACGAAGGGGGAGCACATGAGCATGTTTTATTAACAGTTAATGGAAGAAAATTAATGCTAATTTATTCTTCATACACATCATGCAATTTGTTAGAAAAGTAAAAGAATAGTTTGAAATTCTTTGGTCAATTGATGGATTCCTATGTTAGGGGCATAGAAATGAAACTCAACATTAAGCAGACAAATACCCAAGCCCACAGGCTACATAAATGCTGAATAAAACCAGCTCTACAATGGAACTCTGAAAAGCGAGGGGTAAGAAGCCTAATGAATGATTGAATATGACCTTTGCAAAATCCCTGGAGTGTTGTTGAAAGATCATTCATTTCCAGCTTAGATGTCAAGATGGGCTCCAGTAACCAGGAAAAAAGAGAGCTTGAGTCGGTACTTACTGAGTTTTAAAAATCTTTACAACTCAGTGCATTAGACTAATCATTAAAAGGGCTTCTCTAACTGAATTTTGAGCTGTCACTGTGTAGACCTGTAGTTTAGGCCCAGGGAAACCAAATTAAAAAGATAGGAATAATTCGCAAGACATGAATGTATCAATATCCTGCTTTTATGGAGTAGAACTTCAAAAACTGGATGTAGAGGCTGGCCGAATGTACTTTTGTCATGCTGATACCATTGTAAGAAAGACTTACAACCAAGAGATCAATTGTGCCTTAGAGTATTTGCAAATTACTTGCCCAGTTTATTAGAGGAAGATAGGGAAAAAACCAAAATGTACTTTTTTCATTTTTAAGTGGCCCATTCTGAAGAAGTGATAAATTCTTTTATGTTATATTTTAAAATATGTATTGTTATTACTGCATCAGAAAATAAATATGTTTGTGGGTGATCTTTATTGTACATGCTATCCAGAAGCTTTGTAAGAAAAGCCAATCTAACACATTTGTTTTCCCAAATACCTAAAAATTTACACATGAACCAGGATTAGCATATCCTGGATGTTATATGAGGAGCTTAAAAAGAAATATGAAAACACTCCTGTTGAATAAGGGGACCATGAACTGTATTTCTCATTCTTCATCAACATACTTACAGATGTGAAGCTGTTTATTATTCTCTGTGACTCTAGCAGAATAGAAGTGCTGTTGGGATGGTCGCAGCTCTCCTGCTCAGGCGGTCCAAGCTGCTTGTCAAAGATGGGCGGAGTCAGGGGGAGGGAGCTAAATGGAGCAGAGAGTGGGTGCTGCCGGCGCACGTTTTCTCCTCACCCCTCCTCTAGTATGAAAATGTCAGTCCTTTGTTCCCATCTAATTTTAGTACATCCTGGCTTAAAAAAAAAAAAAAAAAAGTTAGGATGCTTTCCAACCTTGGAACTTGGAGGGGTGGGGTGGGCGGGGAAAGAGGAGAGGAAGGAGCAGTTTACATTCCGTATCCGTCTGCCTTTCTGCGACAGCATCTAGCCCCTATTCTGTTGATTCTGGTAATGAAATAAATTTAGATGCACTGAAGCAGCAATAATTAAGTTTTCCTTCCATGTCCTCAACAAGAAGCCTAGTTGGAGTCTGAATGGGGAAAATCATAATGTGGCATTTAATAAAACATACTGGGCTAAATTAAAGAGCTGTGTGCAAGTTTTGGAAGACAGGCCTGAAATTGTGAATGAAAAACTGCATGTTGTCTTATTTATAAATATAACCTTTTGAGGCCCATTTGTGATTCAGCGAAACTGCTTTTATGCTGTTGTTTTGAATGAGAATAATATTTGTTGATTTTTGAGAAGCCATCATAAGCAAGGCACACAAGTCAGAGGTGTTTATTCCTTGTGGAAACCTTCACAAGTGTAGAGGGAAAGCTCAGATTTCGTGAAGAGAACCAGTTGGGTCAAAGAATTGATAATATAA